GTTAACATTAGCCAAAATCTGATGGAAGGTAAAAATGTTTTCTTATACGATTAAAAAAATATATGCTGGTAAATCCTCTCATAAAGTATGCAAGTATCTAGAATTTATATTGCAGCCGAAGCATTTGTCGTCTTTTTTGCTAAGACTCTCTCTCTCTCTCTCTCTCTCTCTCTCTCTCTCTCTATATATATATATATATATATATATATATATATATATATAAAAAAGGCGACAAATGTTTCTGGCTGCATATATATATGCATATATATATATATATATATATATCTGTGTGTGTGTGTGTGTGTGTTCGCCATTTTGTCAATCCCATTAGAAATTCTTTTTTCTCTTCGATCACAACGAGAAAGAATTATTTCTATTTACCAATCATCTATTTTCTCGCTTTTGTCCAGATTGATTTTCTTTGAAATTTCATTGGTTCTTATTTTATCCGAATTTCATTGGTTCTTATTTTCTTCTAAATTTCATTGTTTCTTATTTGGTCTTCATAGAATTATGTCTTATACTGAGCTTACGATTTGTTTGTCGGAATGGGTTGACATTTTATTTGCCATATTTTTTTTTATGTGTGTGTGTGTGTGTGTGTGTGTGTGTGTGTGTGTGTGTGTGTGTTAATATGTGCGTGTGTGTGTTTTTGTATGTTCGTTTTATTCTTCTTTACTTTAAAACAGCAATCAATATTTGTTGAACTTCGTTTCGAAAATATGGAAGGGTGCAAAAATCAATCAGTTTGGTTTGTAATTGAAAAGAACAAAGAAGAAATTTTTTTAATTTTTTAGATGAAAGAGATTTTGGTCAAATATTTGAATGGAGTTGGAAGAGATGAGAAGAATTAAATGAAAATTAAAGCAACAACAACAACAAAAAAAAGAGCGAATGCGGACATAAAAACCAATAAAAGTCATGTAGAGGCGGAGACATTGTTAAATAAAATATTACCATATAAAATTTCCCCGACTATTTTTATCTGACACTTTCATGTTTCCTTAATCACTTCCGCCTTTTTTAACCTATACTTCATTATTTTTATCCCATCTTCACACACACATACATGCATACAAACAAAGCCCCTCTCTCTCTCTCTCTCTCTCTCTCTCTCTCAAGAGTACATAGAAACCCTCGTGTAAACGTGTCACTGTATATGCCGATGTGACGGGCATCTTATTCATAATTAAATGTTCTCTATCTGCAGTGTCCTCAATCCTTCCTTATCAACATTTTTTTTCTGTGAAAACCATTTCTTTCTTCCCTATGTCTTCATCTTCAGTTCCATTTTTTATCCTTTTATTTCCCGAACATATTTCACCTTTTTTCGATAAAAGAATATTCAAAAACATAATTTCACCTGGTTCCGATTTAAAAGAACAATTGCTTTTTTCAAAGCCTGAAATGACAATTATCTTGCAAATGGCAAATAATCCTGGTTCCGGATCATTTCTCTGTGAAGGGATTTTTTCTATCTGACATGACAATTATGTGTTTGAAAACCTAAAAATAAATGAATAATTTTGTACAGTCATTTCTCTGTGAGCGGGATGCTTCTCTATCTCAAGGAATCACACATGTGTTTGAAACCAAAAAAATAAATGAATAATAACCAAGAATAGAAAAATACGTCAATATTAAATCAGCACATATGGCCAAAAAAATCTTAAGGAATGAAAGAGAATACAATGAATAAAATATGGAACCAGGAACTGAAAAAAGAAAAAATGGACAGCAACAAAATTATAGTATAAGCTCTAGTAAAAATAACAATATTATAATAACAGAAAAATTACAATATAAGCACTGCTGAGACATTAGGTTTATAAATCCCCCCAAAATCATGCACAAATGTCCTCAAGGACACATGGTCCAGTGGATGAAGACGCTGATTAGATCCAGTGGTTATACCATAACAACCCAACAGAGTTCAATACCTGGCTGGTCCACCATGATATTTAGATCAAAACCAGCCCGAAATAACTGCGACATCCGAAAGAGGCGATGACACGGAGAACTAGAACAATCTACCCCGGCGGACGAAATAAATGGTTCGGTTCGAAAGTCTAATCACCTGAAGAAGAAGAATATGGCAATGAAGATGAGGATAACAGTCCGAATAATGTCAATAATGCAAGTAAAAATAAATGAGTTATTTACCTTATGCACATTGAAGATTTTATAGACAAATTTTCCCAGATCTTATTTAGTGCGCGTTCTAATGTTCTGTGTACATTTGTGTATATTCCTCGAGCTAGACGATTTAATATATTCTGATATTGAAAAATTAAATTCTATGGTTCCAGTTAATGTAATAGAAGTAGCATCGTTGAACCAAAATCTTATTCTGTGCTCGTCCTTCTAAAAATGAAATCTGGTGTCTGGTCATTTGGTTAGATTTTGGAAAGTGGATCTGAACCCCTGTTAAAAATCTATGGTCAATTGCGTAGATGGAAAACAATTTAGCAGCAAACTAATTCCTCATTCGAAACAATTAAAACTACCGTTTTGGTTATTTTGTTTTGTTTGTAAAAAAAATCATTTATTGCCATCAATGGATGTAAAGAATTAAAATGACGTCAAATATTTGTTTTTCAACATCATCTTTCATTCGTTGATAAATATTTTGATCATTTTATTATTTTTTTATTGAAGTGAAAATTTCAGATTATTTGGTTTTTAACTAAAAACAAAACAAACAAGTTTTAAAATACAACAAATAACAAAATAAAACATATTGATAAAAAAAGTAAAATTTCTGGAATTCGGGGAAAGAGAGTCTTGGAGAATTTTTAAAATTTGGCAGATTTTTTTTTTCAAACCAAATTTGAATTAAACAACTTTATATGATTTTGTTAAATGGACGGCGGCATTAGGAGGGTATATGGATAAATAAGAACTGATGTTCAGGATTGGGATGGTTGGCTTATAATCTCTACAAAGGTCCTTTGAACTCATAGAGACGATGACAACGAAGAACGACGTCAGATTTAGGTACCTCCATTAGGTCGTGTAAAAAAGCAGCATATCATGATAAAGAAAGGCCCATAACTCAACGAAAACAAAGTTTTGTCATCAAAATGTTTATGTTGTTATTAAGAGGAAAGACCAAAGTATTTTTTTTATTATTTTTTTGAAATTTTTTACACCTTTCTAGCACATTGAAAATTTTGGTTAAAAATCTTTTTTTTTTTTTTTTTTTTTTTTTAACGACAGTAACTCTAAAAAGAAAAAAAGGTTTGTTTTATTTTGCGCTTTTCCCAAGGAAAACATACGTTGATTGAAAATTCTTGCAAAAATCAAATAATTGTCGGATTTTAATGAAACTTTCAGGAAATATTCAGAAATGAATGAAATTATTATTTTTTAGAAAATCTTGGTAAAAAATAATTTTTTTTTTCCACCCCCTTACATATTTTCATGAAATTTCGAGAAATTAAATTTTTAAAACTGGGATTTTTTTTTTTTTTACTTAGAATCAGGACTCTTTAGAGAAAGTAAATCACCAGTTTTTTTGTTTTATTTTTTAAAGAAAACACCGGTTTCATAGAAAATCTGCTCTGAATTGTAAAAAAAAAAAATGTAAAAAATTATGACATTATTTAATTAGAAAAGCTTTTACTTGTTTTTTTAAATACGTTATATTAAGGACATTATTGTCTAAAGAAATAAAACTTTTTCGATTTGTACAAGAATTTTTTTCATTTTTTAAAAATTTGATTTATTTATATAATATTAAATTATTAATACTTCAAAAATCATTTAAAATTCTTCATTGCTTTTATCCTTGCAATTCGATGATATCGTTAAGTGAAAAGTAAATTTATGAATCAAAATTTGAAAAGCTCATAACAGTCGTTTGTACCCGAGTATTTTAAAAATAATTTTTAGTGAAAAAAAAAACATTCCTAATTTCTATCTATACATGACACAATCCTTAAAAAGATCATGTGATTTGATTGTAGTCTGAGGCACTGCAATTATTTCCCTTCAATATCCAGTTCTGTTTCACATCGTTAACATGTTTGCAAAAAGTCCTTTCAAAATTTCTAAGTTTTAATTTTTGTGAATTACTTTTTACTAAATATTTTTATTTTAGGTATTTATTTTAGTTTGGATCATATTTCATTGAAGTAATTTTTTAAGTTAGTAAGTTGTTAAATAAGATAAAAAGATTAAGAACCTAAGAAACAAAATCCAGACTAAAAAAAAAGTATTAAATAAAAAGTAAATAGTACATAATTGCTGAATAAATGTTAATATTTAAAAATTACTAGTAAAAAACCAAAAAAACACGTTTGCTTACTTCGTAAAATTATGTCAATTTTGATCATCCATGGTAGCTGTCATCACCTCTTAACATCTCGATAACATCGATAACGTGAATAAAGACATGAAAAAATTCAGACACATCATTAAGAAATGTTTGGATACAATTTTTTTATGCTCTAAGTAAGTACTGTTTGTTTCAAATCAGATTAATTTAACTTTAAATTTTCTAATTTTACTCAAATAACGGGTCAAAAATATATAATTTATTTTCGGAAGAAATTTAAAATCAAAATTTTTTTTTTTGTTTACAAATTTCTTAAAATTTAAGAAAATGGCCGCTTTTAAGAAAATTAAAAAAAATTAAGCATATATTTGATATTCCAATCTATATAATTTCTATCTGAAATACAACAGAATATGTTACTTACTGTAAATAATAAATTTAATGCTTTAGCTTTCAATTAATAACAACATTTTGGGCCTTTTTTCACCGTGCTATGCTGCTTTTTTATGCAACCTAATGGAGGTACCTATATTAGTATATCCTATAAGGCTATTTGTTCTTTTGCTTCTTTTTCCATACTCACAATGGCTGAAATATTGTGAGCATAACAACTCAGATGAGCATGCTGATCAGATTAGCAAAGCCTATAATAATTATTGTTTAGTATTTGAGTTTTTTTAATATCATTTAAATTTTCAAACCATTGTTGTTTTGTTTCCAGGATAAGAAAGACATTCCATGGTGGCTAGGAATAAGTCATAAAGGTATTGCTGTCTATGATAAAACAGACAAACAGACGCCACGAAAGGTCAGTTTTCTTGTTTTTATTAACAACAATAGTATAAATATAGGCACTTGGCATACATCCCACTTTCTATAAGTGCCATTTCACATATATTTTCATTTATAACAAAAATGTATTTTAGCAATTGCTGCTAGAAATTAAGAAATCTTTGTTACTGAAATCTGCCTTTAATCGGTCAGAATTATTTGAGAAAGCTGAGTAGAATTTGGTCTGTTTCATATTTGATCTTTATTTTATGATTTATTCCTGTTTGTTTTTATATAATTTTTTAATTTATTTTGAAAAATTTTGTCAGTTTCTGTACACAAAGAGTTGTTTTGCCATCTTTGAAGATTTCCTTGATTACAAACACAAACAGAAAAACATTTTGTCCCTTAACACAAAGCCTATATAAAAAGTGTAATGTGATGATGTTGCTTCTTAATTATCAGGAAAATTTTCTTTTGCAGATATTCCATTGGAAACAATTAGAAAATCTGTATTATCGAGACAAGAAATTTTCTGTTGAAGTTCATGATCCAAAGCGGTAAGTTCTTTTTCTCCTCTCTCTCTCATGTTGCATGTCCCAGTGCAGCACGTTGGCTAGCATCAGTGACAAATAAAACTAATAGCCTGCTTTAATTTTCTATCTCCTCCCAAAAAAGCTTTAATGATACTTATGGCCATTAGAATTACCATATTGTGTAAAACAATTTATAAAAAGTTCATCCTAATTATTTTCCTATAAATAGCCTATGTTTTTAATTGCCTGTTAAATAGAAATATCAGCTAAAGCTTCCATTGCTAAATTGAAGCTTATTTTGCTGGCCCTCATCTGAACTTATGCAATATTCTAACAGTGGAAAAGGCAGACCCCACAAGTAACCTTTTAGTTATTACTTAGGTTGTTCCCTCTACTTAGCAGGTCATCTTGACCTCTGATAAGGAATTTATTTTTATTTATTTTTTAAAAGAAATTTATACTTGTGAAAACTGAAATGCCGGATCCATTTCAAAATATCTACCCCCCTCCCTTTTGGTTGCTGGAAAAGTGTTAGAGACTAAATGAAATAAAAATAAATTGTTTTCAGTGGAAAATTTATAGCATATGATACTATACTGTGCAAGAAAACTAGGTCTGGCTTTTTAATCTGGGCTCCATTTTCAGCCATTTTATTCTAAAAGTAGACTAATCATTTCATCCTAAAGGCCAGAAGTATGATGATGGTGATCTTAGAATAAAATCTGTTTAAATGTCTGCACTTAATGTATGAAAAATACTGAAATATATTGTACTTTTTACTTTGTACCAATGACTATCATTAAAGCTTGTTTTTCATCATCACTCCCCCAGATTTCTTTTCTAATCATTTCTCTTTTGAAATTTCTCTTTTGTGTTGTTTAGAATATTGACAGTCTTTAAATACTGAATGCATTATATCCTCTCCTGTAATATTATGTAATTTTTACTAGTTTTATGACATTTCCTTTCACTAAACAAATAACTATGAAAATGTTGTATAACTCAATTTCTGTGTGACAAAAATATCATCTCATATCTTGAGGTAGCAACTTTTTCTTTATTTTAATATTTTATGAGCTCTGCTTTTTTATCATCAGTTAAGAACAGGAAAATAATGTTAAGAAGTTGTTAATCATTAGCTACCTTCAGCCTTAAATAATGGTTATAGCTTAGAGAAAATGTTTTCAAGAATAACAAAGAATGAAAACCACTCAAAAATATATACTCATAATCAATATTAGATTCATTAACAAGAAAGTGTGTGGTTGGTTTAATTTTCATGCTTATACACATTTATATTGAAATGTTAACAAAATACTTGTCTGTATTTGTCAAAATGATTTCAACCTTTTATGTTTTAAAATTTTCTGGTGAAAAAGGTTAGTTAAACACTTCATGATAGCATATTCATTAAAATATAATTAGAGATTAAATTTACTAAAAAATAAGTATTAAGTACTAAATTTATCATTATGCAACACGTTTTTTTTATTGTATTTTTTGTTGTTGCTTTTTGTCACAATGCCCAGAAAATAAACTATTAATCTCTGGTAAGATTTGAACTTACAATCTTATAATCCTTTGAATCATGTCTGTTATAGACAGCACCTTACCAATTAGGCTACAGAAACCAATCAGTAGATAACATTTATTTTTTGTAGTATATAAATACAACCTGAGATTATTTTTTTTATAAAATCCAACAAGAGACGAAAGAAGTATTATTGAAAAATGTATAAAGGAAAATGTTTAATTTAAGAAATTTGGACAACTCAAGATAATTATGTCTACTATTGGATGTAGAAATGTAGTTATATAGCTAAATTTAAAAAATGTTCGCTGTTTTTTTTTTTTTTTTCATAGTGTATTGAGTAAGATGTTGTCCATGTGAGATTGGCACTTAAGGATATGGATTGCAAATTCAAATCTTGTTGGAGGCTTCTTTATTTCCTATCCATGTTGCTTTGTGGTTGTAGAATGTTAAATGCACCCTAGCATTACAATAAAAATAACTAAGATGAAAGGTGTCAAACATTAATAATGAAGATTCTTCATCAAAGATCTTCATATGTACATGATGGATTGTTTAATTCTGATTGTTTTTCTTTTTAAACAATTGATTCTGTTCTTTCTTGATTAACCCTAGCTTTGCTTTTTTTAGTAGTAATATATTTAAACATAATCTTCCTTCATATCTTTTCTCTGAACATCAATTTTATCTATATTTTTCATTATTTTCTTTAAATTTTATAAAAATCATTATTTGCACCATTTTTATTTTTCAATTATTATCAGAATGCTTATTTATACTTCAGTTATGTATGGTATTTCAAATAAACCCAAATAATTTCCTCATTAATCAAAACTAGTTTTAACCCATGAAAATTTCATTTGAAATTTCTGCTGAATCTTAATTCTTCAGTTAATGGCAAGTTCAGCGACAACAAAATATCCATAGAAATTCCTCTATTGCCATCTGTCTATATTTCTGAGTCAAGGTATTGTAACTATTTACATTGTTTGGACTGTTGTCCTTATCGTTATTGCCATATTTACATTAGGCCATTGTACATCCTAACCTTCTTCAGGTGATATTAATTGGAATTGCAAATTGAATCCTTTATTTACTTTATGTCTGAGATACATAGATGATGCCTTCATATCAGTAAGAAGTCCAGCTACTACTGGACCATGTGAACTCAGTATGACCATCGGTACAGTTCACATATGAACAAGCAATGGTTAGTATAAGCATTCCCCTAAAACCTAACAACTTCCCTGGGTACGTGACAGCAGCCCCCACAAACTGGGATAGAAAGGTACAAGATGATAACAACACACAGAAAACAGCCTTGGTCTTCCTACTCTACGTAAAAGGCTTATCTGTGGTTCATATAACATCAGGATGATTCTTCAAAAGTGGTTCAACACTTTAAAGACATCTCTTCCGAGTAAGACCTCCCATAGAGAAGAGCACGATTAAGGACTGTCTATGTCATCCCATGCAGTTGTGGCAAGAAATATAAAAGAAGAAACAGGCTACCCCTTAAGATACAACTAAAGGAACACCATAAGGCCATAACACAAGAGTGTTATGGTGTAAAACCATAGAAAGATACCACGGACTTGGATATAAGGTTAAATAGTATATTCTCGGAAACGTAGTACAAAGGTAAATGTGGACTGGAGAGTACTTTCTCTCACTGGTGTCCTGATACACTCATTCACTCACTAGGTGTCTACTACTCTGTGACCCTCACTTGATGACTCCCTTTACTCAGAGTTGGTAGCCATATTATATAGGTGCGGAAGAATCCATTTGTAGGTAGGTCCCCACAATAAAAAGGAAATAGAAAAATCAGTTATAGCTGACCTCCATATGGAGGGAAAAGGAGATCACCACCCTCTGTGGGATGAAGTTGAAATAATAGAGAACATCACTGGAAAATACAACAGCGCATATGCTAGGCTGCAAAAATCTCCTAAGCCAGCCAAGCATAGACATGAATGCAATATACAGAGTAATACAGAGCTAGAGAAAAACAATAACAAAAAATTATATGAGCTCTGGAAAAAAATGTTTACATTAGTCCTAAAAATAAGTCCCAAAAATTTACTCACATGGCCCAGTGGAAAAAGTGTTGGTTGAGTGATTTTAAAAGTGACTTGATCCAAAGAGTTCAATACCTGGCTACAGCAGAGGCAACAAAAACTTGAAGAGTTGAATTACCAAGGGTAATTATCTGAAACAGATATCCAAAAGCATGGCACATGGAATTAGAACAACCTACCCCCCATGAACTAAATAAAGGGTTCAGTTCAAAATTTCAACTAATATCACCTAAAGAAGACCAGAATTTACAACAGCCAAATCATTATGAATGTGGCAATAAAGATGAACAATGTAAATAGTGTAAATTCCCTATCACATCATTAAATATTTGAGCTTAACAACTTTAATAAAATATTGCAATAACAATCATAAATATGAATACTGGTTATTATTTTAAGTCGTGAGTATATACAAATGAAAAGATTTTAAATTGACAACTTTTTCCATTTCACTGAAACAGACGTTAAACACTTCTATCTTCCCTTTTTTCTTTTTTTTTTTTACTACTTAAAAAAAAAAAAAAAATCTTTGATATGTCTTGTCTTTCCACACAATCAAAATTGAATAGACCATTATTTATGAGTTATTGGCATGGCATATTGGTCATGTAGATTAATAAAGGGTGGAACAAGCACAAATGTTAATGTGTAAAGAGATATTAATGGAATAACCAAATATTTCTTTCAAGCATCTGCTTGCTCTTCAGTTTAAAAGTTCTCCAAGATTAGAAAAACAATCTAGTGTTAGGATTTCTAAAAACAAAAAAAAAAACTTTTGAACCTTTTACTGTCCTTTAGGTCATTAATGATCATTAGCATCATACACTTTTTTATCAGAGGCTAATCAGGTAAAATGTCAGTTTTCATGATTTCCTAGCCTACTAACAATTTCTATATAATGAAAAACACTCATACATCCACATTTAACAGGAACTTGTATCATTTTTATTGTATCGAGTACTATTAACAAATGCTACACAAAAGTTTGGTTAACTTAAAGCCTGAAATGGTTTTCTCAAAGAAAAAAAAATGATAGGAAATGAGATTCTTTATTTTCTTTTAGATCAATTTCCAGAGATGTGCAAGACACAAAAAACACTGAGTAATTTCACACAAACTGATGAATCTTTTTAAATTTCCCAAACTTTTGGTTAGTACTGTGTATAATTGTTTCACAAGAATTATATTTTTATTCCAATTATATAGAGATAAAATAAATTACTGATTGTTTTAATTTTGTTGTGAAATAATTTTTTTTAGCAGATTGAATATTTAATGCACATTTACATAAATGAGAACTCCTTGTATATATTCATTGGAAATTATCTTAAGTAAATACTCTCTATATAGAAACTAATTCTGCTTTATGAAGTAAACAATTAGTTTCAATGTTTATTTGGAAGGCTATTGTTGGTCACTGAGGTGTTCAAGAGATCTGTTTTTATTCTGCTTGTGAGTTATAGATCAATAATAAACATGCTTGAGATCTTTTGTTCTATATCAACACTCTCTTAGGGAAATTATGTAATTTCTGATATTGAGAAATTCTTTAAAATACTGCCATTACAGTCTGGGAAGGATATAATAAGCCTCTGCTATTTCCTTGCCAATATACTGAAACCTATATTCTACAAAACAAACTGAACTTGGTTGGGACCATAATTAACAAACAGAATATAAAACAGTGGCAACAGTTTAAATGGCCTTATTTTGTTTATAAAGTACTGACCAATTGAAAATTATTCAACATTGTTTTTTAATTTTTGTTGGTTGTTGTCTTGTTCTTCTTGGAATGCTTTTAAAATCTGATGTTATAAGATTTAATGTGCATGAGAAAACAGCATGTTAGTATTCTGTCTCAATTTACAAGCATGTTAACTTTGTATTTATTTACTAACAAGAAAGATTCTTATCATTCTACTGCTTAAGTATCATGCAAAGTTCTAACAGGTCTGGATCGTCCCTTGTTTCACCTGTTTAACATTTACCGTACTTGTATTCTCTGCTCAGTTCCAGGATTCCTGCTGTCCAGTCAACAGCATGTCTCAAACATTTCTTTCTATGAAGGATTGTGTTAATAATTACTGAAACAATGGTACAAGATTGGTGGGAATATAAAATTCTCCTCTGCATGTTTTGGAGTTTGGAATTGGTTATTGAATTTTTCTGATATATTACATCACAAATGTATTGTTTTTTTTTTTGTTTTTTTTCTTCTATTACTTAACATCAACCAATCTTTCTTTTTTCTTTGACAGATTCTTTACTGATTCATTTAAAATAATTTTGGCAGAAAAATCTGTATTATGAACAATTACATTCATTGAATGTGATTTTCTCATTTTGTTCTTCATATTTCTGCTGAAATTCTTTTCTGTTTACTGTGCCAATTTCTTGATGAGAATTAAAGGAAAGTTGCCATGAATATAATACAATCCTCTACTTCTCTATTAATAACAATGTATATTTCTTTGTCATTCCATGTCTTGCTTGCAAGTGATCAAACTGACACTTGATTCTTCCTTGTGGAAATCTCTCATTTGCCACAACTAGTTCATTTATCTAGCTTTTAGCAATGGTATTTAGTTCAAATACTGCAGTCCTGTTGCTGAACTGTTTATATTAAGTGCAAGCAACACACACACATTACTTTTAATTTATTTTGTTTAAAAGTTATCTTTGATGGATACTCATATTTCAGTAGAAGCTCTGTTTTTTAATTAAACAGTATTTTTTATTTGACTACATCTACCAGCCTGAATATTCAAGAAATCTTGTGAGAAAAATATGCATCCTCTGGCAGGATTTGAACCTGCATCCTCTATGGGCAACTATCATTTGATCTAATGTCCCTAACTGCTTGGCCATGTGGGACTTAGTCAAACAAAGCCCAAAATGTGCTTTTTTGAACCCACTCTCTGCTGATTCTTGAAACATTCATATCTGTTCTGTATCATATCTTAATGCAAACAAAGAATTTATTTTGAGAAAATGGATTTAATCCAATATAAAAATAAATTGTCTTTGTTTATGTTAAGATATGATACAGAGTATATATGGATGTTTCAAGAATCAGCAGAGAGTGGGTTCAAAAAAGCACATTTTGGGCTTTGTTTGACCGTAAGTCCCAAGTGGCCAAGCATCTAGGCACACAGGTCAAATGATGGTTGCCCATATAGGATGTAGGTTTGAATCCTGTCAAGAGGACGCATTTTTTTCTGACAAGATTTCTCGAATATTCAATCCAGTAGACGTAGTTGTATAAAAAACACTGTTTAATTACAAAACGGAGCTTATATTTGAATATGAGTATCTATCAAAAATAACATTTGAACAAAATAAATAAAAAAGTAACAATATATTGGATTTAATCCATTCCCTATATATATATATATATATATATATATATATATATATATATATATATATATATATATATAATCTCCTTTGGTCTTTACTGTGACTGCTAAAAAATAATTCTCAAAGTGACTGGAAGAAAAATAGCTCATTTACAGTTTTATTTTTTGCCCTTGTAAAATGCTGGTTATATATCTGGAATATTTTATATGGAAATAAATATATTACAAGCTTCTACTTGATAATGGAATCCAAGTTGAAGTCCTTAAGAATACTTGTTTAAAACATCTAATTAAAATTAGTAAAAAATGAGTTTTATGCTAGTTCTAAATATGACTTGATATTCAGAAAGCAACATCTTTTTGAAATGTCATAGATCTATTAAATTCAGTTCAGCCCTAAAAAAAACAATTGAGCGAATGGTTAATTAATTCTGCAGATTTTTTTTTTTAATTTTTCATTTGTCTAAGAAACTAAGGTTATTATCAAAACAAAAACAGTCATCAAAATATTTTCAATTTATAAAAAAATGAAAAGTATATTTAAAGACTAAGCTTATATTTTCTAAAAATGTCACCATATTGACATTAAAATTATAGAAATTCTTGATTGTTGTTTCAAAATGGTTACATGAAGATATTTGCTTATTTACAAGTAATATAAATTAATGCAAATGTTTAATCTGTCTTTAATATATTCAGCTTGACAACAAAATGATTTTCTATTTTCTTTTTTTCTATTCAATTAATTAGTCAACTAATTCATTCCAACCAGTTCTCATGACTTCATTATTGCTGTATTAGTCATTGTCAAAGAACTAACCAAGCACTGCCCATGGTTCTGAAAATCCTCCACTAATCACTTGTTTTCTCTTTTCCCTTTTGATACTTTCAATAAAGACAAAAGAAAATATGACTTTCCCTCTTGGAAAATTTTCATTCTACTTTCAAGCAATAATACAAACAACTTTTGCTGCACCTCAGTCCATTTCTTTTTCAAGTTCCACGATGGCTTGTGTTAAATATTAACTAATTCAAACAAATCTTTGCACAGTTCACTTTGGTTTGTGAGATCGATATTTCATATTTGTTTTTAAACCAGATTAAGTTTGACTGCTTCAAATACTTTCTCTCTCAAAGATTTTCTCGGTCATAAACCTTAATTGATCTGCTTGTCACAATTCTTTTAGTTTGAACCTCTAAATATGAAAACACTTGATATTAATGAGAATATTTACTATAATTACAATATTTTTTCTCTTTGATTATTTTACAGACGATCATAGAAATTGTTTCAATTGATAGAATTAAAATGCTATCTAAATAGTATTACTAAAGTTTTCAAATAAACACGTATATATCCTTTTTTATTTCAAGTAATTAAGCTATTTGATAAAGGAAATAGATATTCACATGTTGATTGATATGTGAGGGGATGTTCACTCACTTGTCTGCCTGACTCACTTTCCAAAATCAGTATTTCAATGACCAAACATTAGAAAACTCATTTTGGAAAGTGGGTTACGCTAAGAACTTTTCAACAATCCCTCAGTTTATATAATAAAAAAAAATGTTTATATATTGAAAACATTTTCTATATTGAAAAATACAAAATATTAAAAAAAAAAAAAAAAAAAAACATATTATTCATCTCAACTGTATAACTTTGCATATCAAAAAGTTTATCTTATTAATTGATCTAATTGAAAATATTGAATCCTTAATAAAAATAGTTTTTCTCTTGTAATAATTACAATGAGTTTTAACATCAATTTAGGTGTTTATAATGTTTATTTGAATTTATCTACTATTTTCTTTTAACTTGAAGAAACAAATAAATGCATAATATAAAAGGCCGGTCTCACAAACCCTAATTGAACACCAAGTGCAGCAGTGGTAGTCCTTGGCCCTCTAATAATTACAGCTGTGTTTCTCATGACCAAAGCATTGTAAGCTCTAATTCCATGTGCAGTGTCTTGTCTGTTCCTCCCTTAGTATCATCCATACGCTGAGCAGTTTCAACCTGTATGAGGATGCCATTCAAGAACCTATTGATGAGTTTGATGCCCTATCAGATGCCCTATCAGATCCTACCACCCAGTAAGTACCTTATTTTCAGATATTCGTCCACCACCATGCAGATGAGCAAAGCACTTTCTCCTGAATTTCTTGCCTCTGACTCCTCAGACCAGCCTCAAAACCCTTCTTGATGTAGCTTTTCATTTTGGATCATTTTTCTTTTTTCTAATTGATCAACTTTTGTTGAATGTGTCTCTGTCTTTACTTTATTCTAGCCATAGGTAAGTAGTAGTTCAATCTCTATCATGCAGGGAAAAACATTATTTTGGCACTGTTAATATATTGTTTGATTGGTAACAGGCAAATAAACATTAATGTTGCAGTTTCATTCTATTTACTCATTTTATTCAGGAGAAATTCCTTGGTTTCCCAAGTTCGGTAAGTATGATGCCAACAACTTATCTTTTGGTTATTGTAACAAACAAAATATTTGATGATCTCTCTTTCTAAGCCTGAACACTCTTTTCCTGTTCCTATATATATATATATATATATATATATATATATATATATATATATGTATACACACACATCATTACCAGTTTCTACTTTGATGTTTATATGAAATGAATTTTTCATTCATCTTATGTTTAGGTAAAATTAAATAGCATAATAGACAAGAACTTAAAAAAAGATGTACACTAGTTCTTTCTGTTCTTTTTTTTTTTTTTCTCTCTCTCCCCTCTTTAAATCCTGTGCATACTTCAGTGATGTATTCACAGTATAAAATTGAACATAGTTTACTTTGGAAACAAACATATGTTACTATTTGAAGATAGTAATGGACTCTCTATCTGAGTATAAATTTGAGAACTGAAATATAGAGGACCTCCATCTGATTCCCATTTTTGTACCTTAAAAAAGATTGGTGCAATTAGATATGGTGTAGGATAGTCAAGTTTCTCACTGTTAAAAGATGCTTGAATAAAATATTAATAACAAAGCTTTTTAGTTAATATTTGCCTTCTCTAACAAAAAAAATATTAACAATGAAGCATTCAAATATACACTACAAGATTTAAATGCATTTAACTACATTTATGATTTCATGTAAAACAAAATATAACATGAAACAAGACTGTAAAATGATATTAGCTTCTTACTAAATATACTGAAACAAATGCCAATTAATTTCACAGTAAAAGCTTAAAACTAATGTTTAACAAAAAACTTTTTAACAATATCTGTATTAAAAATTATAAAACTTGAATATATTCTTTATTTTTCTATGACAATGTTGTTCATTTTGAAATCATCTTAAAAGCAGAACTAAAATGCTTATTACTGTATTCTTTCCCCACACAATTGGATTTTAACCTGATAAGAAGCTTAAAAAAAAAAGCAATCAATTTATATAAAAGCTACCTCTTTGTTTCTTCACAACTCTTAGCCTTTCTTTTATGAATTACTCTGAAAAAAAAGTAAATAAGGATTCAATACTTTCTCACTCTGAAGAATACCATTCCAGTCTTAAAACAAAAGACATTTAATGAAGTTAATTTGATTGATTTATGAGTAATAATAATGTTAATTAGAAGTTTAAATCTAAGTTATATATAAAATTGCTTGGGTAATCTGTCAGAACCCTAAGCACAGAATTTTTAATATTCTAATATTTTAAGGAATTTTGTAATTCAAACACAACTTTAAAAACAAGTAAAACTGCTCATTCATACTATTGATATCTTGGCACTATATATGTTTGTAATTTACCTATAAATGATAATCTAAATAATTCCTGTAAGACTATATTCAATGTTAACTAAATGATGTTTGAAAAAGCTTTAATTGCAAGATCATTAAATATTTTGATCATGTGCTACTTAAATAGTTGAAGCTTCCTTAACTCCTCATACTAATTGAGAAAATACTTGTGCTTGACCAAAAAATATTTCTATTGAATGTTCTTATTTGGTGCCCACAATAACAGAATGAATCTTTGATCCACCTACATTTTTGTTACTGCTATCTTGTGTTGGCATCAACCTTGCAAAGAAGCTGATGAAATTTCTGATGTTCATTTCTTCATTTGACTAACTCTTTCTCTTTCCCCAGGAATTTTTTTACTCAAATGGACAATCAACATTTCTAAAAAATCTTTTCTTTTAATACTAGTATTAAAATCACACTAGCATGATATTTACTGCCTTACAATTTATAAAGAACTTCATTCTCTCTTTTAAGCATACATACATATCAAGATAAATTTTCCATGGTGAATTGTCAAACTGCTCACTTTTAGCTGGATAATATTTCATAAAATAGGCTAAATATTTTTCCACTTTATTAAACTTCATAAAGTTTTTGTATGCTTCAAAGAAAAAAGAAAAAAAAAATATCATCTTTGGATTTCAAAAGACTTTTTTCCGTTAAAGTTTTTTCCATTCATTTTAGACAGTGATTTGGACTCACAGGTCAAAATCAAAGATTTAATTGAAGGGGAATCTATTTATAACCCACGAGAAAGCTTCGCCTGCTCGCTATCGCTTTGCATAATAAGATATATTCAGTAATTGAAAAATTTTAAATGAGCATTTCATTCATAAATTGGCTTGTTATAGTTAAGGAAAGTTTTACAAATAGATGCCAACTTGTTGAAGGACAAGTAAAATGCAAATTCTAAACACTTTTCTGCACTATATAAGATAATATTCGTAAACAGAACTATTTTTTATATATAAGGATCTATTTACATCAAATCGTCTTTAAATTAAGTAGTAGCAGAAGAATTATCATTGAACTTTTAAAAGGTAAGCTTAGGCATTAATTCAATACTTAAATGCAGTGATCAGTTTTGAGTTCTTCTGTAGTTTATTGATGCCTATTGCATATACTCCTCCCTAGCTATTGAGATGATGGCCAAACCAAGAGTCCTCCACAGGAGTTAGCTTAAATGCCACCTGATAGGGCAGCTTTTAAGCTAGTTGCAATTTTGGATACAAAAGGAAAATAAGAGTTACTTCCCTTGAATCATGAAAGCACTGATAATGGCTAGTATAATATATTAATATATATTTTTAACCTCACATAATCTGGCATTCCTGAATCTGAACTCAACAAAAATCGTTCCCTGCGCCTAACTTTTCTAGGGCTTTTGAATGCGCTGTGAATCATTGAAATTGGACCATACATACATACATCCCATCCCATACCAAAACAATCTAATCACACTTTAAACAATATTCACTTAAAAAAAAAAATTACTTGCTTACTTTTTACCAGACTTTGAATTATGACACTTTGTGTCCTCCACATGTTTCATCTGACCTTCCAACCACTTGATGAATATTCATGAATGCTCTCAAATTTAAAAGCCATGATAAACCAATGACATCCTTGCTTTTGTATATAAACAAAATAAACCATACATTGCCTTGATAAGTGGTTGAAATGCGTCAATTAAGAATAGTTTTTTCTCGTCTTTCTAGTCATATATATATATAGAGAGAGGAGGAAACATCAAGAATGGAGTCCCTTAGTCAATCTGAAAAGTTTTTAGCACTCTTTCCTGCACACACACACACACACACACATATATATATATATATAAGATATGTTGATTGTTTAATTTAATTGCATGTATCAATGTTGTTTTCAGCTTGTCAAGATTTAAGGCAAGAGGTTTAACATTAGTAACTAATTAATGCCATTAACCACAATTTTGAAATAAGAATTGTTTTCACAAGTTGAAGTGACTTTATCCATGGTTCTTGTTAGAATAATTTTATTATCTAACACTTTCCTTCATGTATTCATCCTATCCCACTTTCACCTCTTCCTCTTCTATCTAATTTTTTTATAACAGTCTAACATTTTACTAAATCACTGTAAATGTTTCTGCAATCATTTTAAATTATATGTAAAGAGCTTCCGGAAAATAATTTTTGATTTTGTTTTTTTTCCATGCATGGGTTACAGACAAAGGTGCATCAACATTTTGATGAAAGCAATTGAAATATTTTAACTGACTCAATCAGTTCAGGTGTATAAAGAATAAAGGTAGCTCAGATAAATGTGCTTGTGGTAATCAATATTTACTTGATATATTCAGGCCTTTGATAATAAAAGTTCCAGGCTTTCTTGATTTAGATTTTTCTTTTTGCCTAATTTTGATCCCTTCTATATTTACCTCTTGGTTTTAAACATTCTTTGTAATTTTATGTATTTTTTTGTAATTTTATGTATTTCTTTGTAATTTTATGTATTTCTTTGCTATAACTTTTGACTTGGATTCTCTTTACTTTATTTGGTATCTATGCACCTCTATAAATTGGCAGAGAGTATAACTTTCTTTTTTTTTCTTTTTTTTTAATTTATTTTTTTTAATTTATTTTTTTAATAATCAATGCCACTAAGTTGCAAGAGACTACTGGTAGTAAAAGAGAATGAAAAAATTTTAGAGGGAACCAGAAACCCAGTCTTAAACAGGAAACAAGAGATAAACCTCTACTCCTGTTAAAAGGACCAGAGAGGAGCTTATCATTTTCTGTGGAGGATGTCATTAAATGCTGACATGTGAGCTTAATCAACTACAACTTCTTTTTTTTAATCAAATAAAGTTGCCTACAAACACATTTTTATTAGTTATTTTCATCCTTGTTGATGTCAGTACAGATGCACAATAAAGAAAATTAGCTTTAAACCTTTTTATTATATCTATAAGACTAAAATGCCATGATTTCTTTTTCTTTGGTAGGCTTAAAAGTAGTTAATGTCTCATCCATTGAATTATACTAAACCAGTGTCTCAAAAACCCTTGCTAAATGTTTTTCCTTGGGGTAACTTTCTAATAAATAATATTCAAATCTTACTTTAGTTGAGGCAAGTTTTTGAATATTCTAGACTGAATATTCTTTGTGGTTATTTGCATGAACATTAATTGAAACTAATTATTGGCAAATAGTTACATTATCCACTAGCCATAATGTACTGTTTAAAATAAAGGTCTCTCATAAAAACCTTGTTTAAATTGTCTTTGGAATTAGCATTAAATTTGCAATATTTATTTAAAAAACTTTTAGTGCTATTTATATCTCCCTCAACTTGTGTCGTAATACAAAAAAAAAAATCAATAAATCTTTAGTATTATCTAAATGTTCTTTTATCCTGCCAGCTACTGATGCTGCTGGATAGCAAAATAAGAACAATCTATCTCTGTAGGTTAAATAAAGAGTTCAGTTTGAAAGAAGACAGCTACAAAGCACAAAAACTAAAAAGTAGTGATAATAAATTTTTCATCTTACACAATATTCATATAACATGTTGTCCTTTAAGACAGGTAAAATTGATTTCCTCTTAAATATAAGAATTTTATTCAATAGTTGTTATTAGAAGAAACGACAATTTGTTCTTTAGAAAGATGAAGCTTACAGAAACAAGTTCATTTGGAATATTGTGTTCCTTTGAATTGAATATGAAAGAATGGTAATTTGTCTTGGTTTAAATCTTTTCCTTTCAATTCTTTCTGAAGATGTGATTTGTGCATAATTTTTAGTTGCCTTTGCTTGTCATCTTCTTGATGCTGTTGCTGCATTGTTTCTCTTGATTTTTTGTGAGCTTTTGAAAGAATCTAGCATGTTGTTGAATCAAAGTAATTCAACAACTAGAATGACTTTTTTTTTTCTTGTAGCATGACCCACACAATATAAGACTCCATGTCTCCTCTTACAACTTCCTGCATTCAGTGACTAAACTGTTAACAAGCCATAGATTGCAGTCACTGTTGTGCTCAAGCAAAACCAATTTCGAACCTTTGACATTGTGAAGGAATTAACTTGATAATCAATTAAAGTTAATTAAGTTTTTAAGTGTTGGAAAAAATGATTGAAAATATTTAGTGTTTATGAATCAGATTCAATTTAATATTCTAATATTATAACCACCATACTCTTGACTTCTAAAGGCTTTATGTAGGAAAAATTCAATAGAATACTAGGTTTCTTTTTATTTTGCAATTACATAATTTTGTTTATTTTAATCAATTAAGTTTTTCTTTGATTAATTTAATTCTTCAAAGCAATGAAATAAAAATTGAAACATTTCAGTATTTTTTGTTTCTGATTTTGTCACAAGGTGTCATCAGAGATTTTATGAGAGGAAATTAGTTTTTTTTTTATTCTTAACCCAAAATGATAGTATATTAACAAACAAGAAAAACACTTGAACAGATTCTGATATCTTTTATAACATTTTGAAAAATTTCCAACTTTTACAGCAACTTCACTAGAAATGTAGGCTTTTTCATTTCTTACAAATAGTTTCTTCCAGGTTCTTTTCAAAATTATATTTTCATTATTTTTATTAGATGTTGATCTAAATTTTTGTTCATTATCTAAAAAATAACATTCTTTTTGATTTGAAATAATAAGTTCTAAAATTTCTGTAGCATTTAAATTATCATAGTTAATTATTGCGTGATTTTGTTGGTATAAACAGTGTATGTGTTTCTCTCTTTCCTTTTTTCATTTGTTTTTTTCTTTTTTGCTTATTTATTCCATGTTCTTTATTTTTTTTTTGTTTCTTTCTTTGTCTTTCATTCTTAGTTTCCACTCTTGTTTTTTCTTTCTTTCGTTCTTGGTTTCTGCTCTCACGTTTATTCTTTTGTTCATTCTTTTCTTTAGTTCTTGGTTTCTACTCTTAGGTTTTTCTTTCTTTCAATATCAGTTTCTGTTCTCAGGACTTCCTTTCTTTTGTTCTTTGTTTCTGTTTTTTTTTTTTTTTTTTTTCTTCCTTTCATTCTCAGTTTCTTTCTTTTTATGTTTTTTTTCTTCCTTTCATTCTCAGTTTCTTTTCTTTTATGCTTTTGTTCTTGGTTACAGCTCACTCTCTCTTTTTTCTTTCATTCTTGTTTTTTTTTTTTTTTTTTTTTTTTTCTTTCATTCATGGTTTCTGGTCTCAAGTGTTTTCTTTTGTTCGTCCTTGACTGTTGCTCTGTTTTCCACGCGTTCTTGGTTTCTCTCTTTTTTCTGCTCATTCTTAGTTTCTCCTCTTTTTTCTGCTCATTCTTAGTTTCTCCTCTTTTTTTCCGCTCGTTCTTGGTTTCTCCTCTCTTTTTCCCCTCCGCTCGTTCTTGGTTTCTGCTCTCTTTTTCCCCCCCACCTCGTTCTTGGTTTCTCCTCTCTTTTTCCCCCCGCTCGTTCTTGGTTTCTCCTCTTCTTGGTTCCCCCCCCCCCCCGCTCGTTCTTGGTTTCTGCTCCTTTTTCCCCCCCCTCCGCTCGTTCTTGGTTTCTGCTCTTTTTTTCCCATCCTTCTTGGTTTCTTGGTTTCTGCTCTTTTTTCCCCTCCGCTCGTTTTTTCCCCCCCATTCGTTCTTGGTTTCTGCTCTTTTTTCCCCCCGCTCGTTCTTGGTTTCTGCTCTCTTTTCCCCTCCGCCCCATCGTTCTTGGTTTCTGCTCTCTTTTTTCCCCTCCGTTCTTGGTTTCGTTCTTGGTTTCTGCCTCTTTTCTCCCCCCGCTCGTTCTTGTTCTTGGTTTCTGCTCTTTTTCCCCCACCTTCTTGTTCTTGGTTTCTCCTCTGTTTCCCCCGCGCTCGTTCTTGGTTTCTGCTCTTTTCTTTTCTTTTCCCCTTTTTCCCCCCACCTTGTTCTTGGTTTCTGCTCTCTTTTCCCCCTCCGCTCGTTCTTGTTTCTTGGTTTCTGCTCTCTTTTCCCCTCCTTTTCGTTCTTGGTTTCTGCTCTTTTTTCCCCCCACTCGTTCTTGGTTTCTGCTCTCTTTTTCCCCTCCGCTCGTTCTTGGTTTCTGCTCTCTTTTTTCCCCCGTCTTGGTTTCTGCTCTTTTTCCCCCCCCTCGTTCTTGGTTTCTGCTCTTTTTCCCCCCCGCTCGTTCTTGGTTTCTGTTCTTGGTTTTCCCCCCTCCGCTTCGTTCTTGGTTTCTGCTCTCTTCCCCCCTGCTCGTTCTTGGTTTCTGCTCTCTTTTCTTGGTTTCCCCTCCCCTCGTTCTTGGTTTCTGCTCTCTTTTTTCCCCACTCGTTCTTGGTTTCTGCTCTTCCCCCCCCTCGTTCTTGGTTTCTGCTCTTTCCCCCCCGTTCTTGGTTTCTGTTCTTGGTTTCTGCTCTTTTTCCCCCGCTCGCTCGTTCTTGGTTTTCTGCTTTCTTTCCCCCCCCCGCCCCCGCTCGTTCTTGGTTTCTGCTCTCTTTTTCCCCTCCGCTCGTTCTTGGTTTCTGCTCTCTTTTTCCCCTCCGCTCGTTCTTGGTTTCTGCTCTCTTTTCTCCCCCCGCTCGTTCTTGGTTTCTGCTCTCTTTTTTTTTTTTCTTTTGTTCATCCTTGATTCTTCTCTCTCACTTAATATACAGCAAACAGAATACAACAGTAAGCCCAATAAAAATCAACAAATATTTAAAATGGTTAAAAGTAACTTGTTCTTATTTGCTATCTTATGAACCTTTGTTTTTTATTATATTATTTAACTTTTTAGATGGAGCATTGTCACTTATTAATAAATTTTTTTATTAGTGTTTCTTTTATTCTAATTTCATTTGCTTTTTATTGTAAGTTCTAGATCATCATACCATAATCATTAGTTTGTTTTTGTTTTTTTTTTTTTAACTAATTCTCGAAAGTAAAATATTCTATCCTCCAAGCTACTATTTATGCCAGATTAAATGAAGTGCCACTGATCTCAGAACAGGCATAAATGCTGTCAACACTGGTAAATCTGCTATTTAGTGTCTTACTACATATTGTATGCAATTCACAAGATAACAGTTCCTCATTAAATTTTAACTTGTTTTTATGTTGCATTACAAAATTGAACTTTTTTTTTTTATCTACTATGAACAAGTTTCTTATCGGTTCCTGATATTTATTTTAAACATTCTGCTGAAAATTACTTTATGTAATTCCTTTAGAATTAATTTTAAGTTAAGAAACACTTGCAAGACATTTTGGAATAACCTGTATAAAAGTATACTTTCCATTAGATAATTTATTACAGCAGGTGTGATTTTTGCCACATAACCTTTTTATTAATTTACATCTAGTCTTCTAGCTTTTATCACTTTTTATTACAACATTTAAAGTTGGTTTTATTCTACTTATTCTGGGGCTATAGAGTAAACAACATTAAGTGAAAATAAAAAAAAAGCTTCTAAAAAGCATTGTAATAAAAAAATAAATTGGTCAAAAATTAATACTAACAATGCTATATCAAAAAAATTTGAAGAAAAGTCTTTTTTTGTTTTTTTTGTACTACTCAACTCCATGGATTATTCATTTTATTGACAGATTTTCCTGTATTAACATACAGGAAAACTGTTACTAAACGTTTTATGAGTTGTTTTAATGATATATAAAGTTTTCAGTTGAGAAGCAAAAGACAAAATTCAGTACATTTGTAAAATAATCTAAATAATAAACTCTCCTGTTTTTTCCAAGGCAGACTAATATATCTTGCTAATTGTCAAATTCTAAGGGATTTTTAAACATAGGTCATCCAAGGTGAAATATTTACTAATCTTTCTGCATCATTAACTGCAAAATCATTTTCAACATGAATGTATCGTCTTGGTTACACAATTTGTGCAGATTCCTTCGATTTTTTTTTTTTTTGTTTTTTTCCTCAGTCCACAAAAAATTTTTCTTTATATTCAAATAGAATTTTTTTCAATTTGTTTTCAATCTTTGATGGACAGTGATAGTTTTCAAATATTTTGGTAATGTATAATGTGATTGATGATACCTGCTTTTAAATTCATTGCTTGGTATTGTCATCTATTTTTAATTTTTATATAGTCACTTTTAGCTGCTTTTAGTATGATTTTATTTTTTTTCAGTTTGGCAAGTTTTTGTAGCCTCTTACTTAAATATGCTAAATTAAATAAAATCAAATATCCTTTTGCAAAGCTAGGTAATTAGGATCAATGTTTTTCTCTAAAAAAATCTCGTAAAGGTAAACTTTATTCTGGATATTTCATCAAATTAAAACTTGATTTTGATATTGATTTTTACCTCCCTCCTTTCCACTGAAAATAAACAATTATTCTTTGCAACAGTGTTTTGTCTCTATTCAATTAACATTATTTACTTTTAACTCATTTCATCATCTGCTCTTAATACAATTATTTAGACACCCTTTCATTGATATCCCTTAATTTTTCAATATTTTGACAAAATTTTCACTTTCTGCTGCTTAGATAAATTTAGGTAAATCCAATCACTTAGTTTTTCACACTGTAATGTTTTAATATCACACAAATTCCAGAATATGCCCTGAATTATTTCTAGTTTTTGATAGAATGTGTGTTTAGCAATGCAGTCTTTGCCATCTGTTGACATGTGGTGAAAAGAGGCAAAGATAATATTATAGTTAGACAATGTAATCTATTTTGTCGCTGGGTATCTCACAAAAAAGTCAACATTAAATTACCCAACCAGGGTTGATGTCATAAAATCAATGAACCTGACCTATTTGGATTTTGTGGATTTACTGATAAAAATGGTTTTCTTGAAATAAGAATTTTGCTCTTTTATATATTTTCTCCTTTTCAGGTGTCTCAGCTTCATTTATTCTTTGAAATGCAAATTTAAGCTATAAAATTCAGATAATGACAAAACATTCTTATATAAAAAGTAAAACTTGATATCAAGTTAATGTTGTTTTGAAAGAACAAACAAAAACTAAGTAGATATAAAAAGGCTCTTATCAGATTCTATGTAGCAAGAAAAAATGTCTTGATTTTTTTATTTTACTGTTTGCTTATTTGCAGTTTGATTTTTTTAGTTTGATTTGCTTGATCTTATCAAGAGAATTCTTTTATTGTTATTATTATCTCCATTTTTATTAAAAGAATAAATAGTTTTATTTATTTAGTCAATTTGCTAATAAAAGCTTAGTTTGATCATTTTTTTTTCTCCTTAGAATTCAACGTTTTTATGCTTTAAATACTCTTGGGAATAGTAACCCTGAAAATTCTCAACAAATATGAAGTTTCTTTAAAGATAAAAGTATAACGTTTTATATTTAAATAATTGTTCTTTGTTTTATCAGTATCATTTTTTCCTAACATAAATAGCACAAATTAAAAACTAACATTAACAGTCTGAAATGTTTTCTGTTATTTCAGGCCACATTGAAGGTTGTTATAGGTTTATTAGACATTCAGCAGTTAAAGCAAATTCTTTCAGAAAAAATATTGAAAATAGGATAAGAACTTTAATCTGAATTGTTATCAAGTGAAAAATGAAATTTAAAATCTTAGTTATTCTTAGGAATGTTGTTTTAAACAACTGCAAAAAAGACTGTATTCTCCTCAATATAAATATTTCAGGAATATTTCAAGTTAATGAGCTTAATGAGAAAATGACTTGTATAAAACTTTCACCAAATTTACAAATAATTTTTTTTTAGCAGATAGTGAATTGTCACAATTCCACAATTGTTTGCTGTATTAACATTTCTGAAATTTATAGGTTACTCATGCAAAAGAATTATTAAAAATTAACCTATTGCTGAATGTTAGATTTTAATATTTTTTTTAAAGCTAAATCATTGATGTAAAAATATTTTCAAGTAGATGTTCACAACTGTTTTAACACTGAAACAGATCACTGGATTCATTTTATTACCTGTTACTAAAATGTTAATTTTTCTAACTTAGAACCTTGTTTATTTTATAAAGTTTGTTTATGAAGTAATGGACACTTTTCTTTTTATGTAAAACATAATTTAAAAATAGTTCAGCACCTGTTGAAATGATAAGTTAAAGCTGAAGATATAACAACATTTTGTTTATTATGTGCTAAATTACATTAACAGTCTATACCAAGAAACAACTTTTATAGTCATGAGTTATGAATCTTTATTTCCCCACAATCAGATTTCCAATTTTGGAAAAAATTTCTTCTTTAATTTTATGGTAAGCTGTCATAATAAAATCCAAGCTGGTCTATTTGATGTTCAGTATTATTGGAGGTGTTTGTTAACTTTATAATATTACCCCTATATGGCAATGCTACTAATTAAAACCAGTAGAAACCCTCCTCCCTTATCCATATTTCTTTATTTTACATTGTAAATGAAATCATAAAAAGAATAAATTACAGCAATTGTCTTTTTGAAAAACATTTAAATATGAAATATCTTTCAAAATATCTGTTCCTACCTATCGGTTTGAAAACGTATACACACACACAGTCATTTGCCAAAAGACTGGAATTATCTTGAATATTTACATATATGGATTTTGTTTTTTTATTAGTTTTATGTCTAGGAAAGCTCAAAGAATATTCTCCAGAATGCATTTCACATTAAACAGACTTTTTTAATCTGTACTTTCAGGTTTTGTTAGATAATCTTGGTTTGATACAGATCATATTTGCGATAAAAAAATATTTTATTAAAGTTTTTATTCTGTTTTAATGAAGCACTGGATATTTTTTTAATTGAATTTTCTTTTCACAGGAAAAACAGAAAAATATTAATATAAAATCTTCCTTTTGAAACTTATTCAATATAATGAAAATAAATCTTTTTATATTTAAAGCGGTATTAAATGAAGATTTTTTTTTTTTATTACTAGAAATCATTTTCTCAAATTAGGAAACCCTTCATATTATTTAAAGTAATGGTTTTTGAATAAATGTGTTTTTATTTCAATGAGGTGGATTATTTTTCCCCTGGTTTATCCTGGTAGGGTTTTCTTGTCACTAATCAATTGGTCTGTCACATTTGTTCCTGAAACTTAATTTCTTTTTCCTTTCCAGAGTCTCTGTGAGTCGAAGAACATTTGGACCTGGGAATGTCAATGTCCATGCCTGGTTTTCTAGTTCCCCTCAGCTTACAAAATGTATCTGGTTGATGGCTGTAGCCCAGCACCAGTTTTGCTTGGAAAGAAGAGACAATAAAGTAAGTCAATTTCTCTCTTTATCATCTTTATAATTTCTCATTGTTTCACATTGTCTGAAGGAGAAATGTGGTGTAGGAAGAAATCAATATTTTAAATTGAGTCTTTTACTTGACCACTGGCACCAATGGTAAGTATATAACTATCTCAGCCATGAACAGGCCATGGTTTTTCTAGTCATTTAACAGAGGCTTGCATTAATATAACTAATAAGTGTGACATAGCTGCCATATTCTTTACCGGCAATGGAATGATCATAACTATGCAAGTCAATAATTAATGAATTTGAAAACTTTAAAGATGAAAACTATTTAAAAAAATATATAGCATTGAACTGTTGTCTGTTGAATGTTAACCAATTTTTTAAGTTATATTGGAAGTAAATTTCTTTAAAAAGTATGTAATGCAGACAAACATCATTAAAAAAATCATAATCTTTTGCATAAAAAAAGCATAAAAAATATAACACATGGCACGCACATGTACTAGTTAGAAGCCTTCACTATTCTGTTGTAAATGTTTAAAAAGTATTCTGATTTCAATGAAAGATTGAACTTGAAAAATATGTTGGCAACACTTTGTAAACTGAAACTTATTCAATACTACTATGTTGATTTAATATTTTTCAAGTCAAAGCAGGACTATTTTTTAAGTTCCTAACCTCAAGTTTTATTTGAAGATTATGTACTTAAACTGATAGACTTGTAAAATAATCCTTAAAATTTTATCATTGAGTTACTTTGAGTTAATTGATCCTACACAGTGCAGTGCATATTCTGAAGGCACTCTTTTATATTGGGATAAATCAAGATGGAAATAAGGTATTTATTTAAAGCAGTTGATGATGAATTCTCTGATATTAATAAAGCTATACTATTTTGAAAAATATGTTTGTGTTACAGGCAAACTCTTACATTTAGAATACTAATTATTACTAATTTGCATGGAAACTGTGTTATTGTTTAATGGTGTAAAAAATGAAGTTAGAAATCTGAGCAAAACTGGTAAATGCTCATAAAGTTTAAAATAAAAAATATAATAGTAAAATTTACAAACTTGTGTTGTAAGAAAATCCTTTTTTTAAAAGGACTCCAATTAACAAAAGGTAGAAGTATTGCCTTATGTAAATCATGAAAAATGATCAATTTTTCTAACAGAATTAAAAGTGGAGAGGGAGCTGAGGAAGAAATGAGTACCATAGAAGAAATATTGTCAGTAGAAATTGGTGCCTTTGATACTCTATGCAAAATAGTAGGAATTTTCCCAGAACCAAAATTAACTTTTAAAGGGTTGCATCACCAGCAACTATCTAAAGCTATAGAAACTCATATAAGAAAATTAAGTTTTGTGACAATTTGCGAAAATATTTTTTTAATGTAGAGATTAGTTGAGTGTCATATTCACTTTTAATTACTTTATTTCTTGTCTAGTTTTTTTAAAGTACTGATTGAATTTATCATGTAACAAATAGTTGAAGCAGAATAAAAGAACTGAAACTGTAAATTGTTCAATCTTATGACAAATCAGTGTTGAGTTTTAAAGTCATCTTTTAACAGAAATCAGTTTAAAAAAAAATCTCATTTACCCTAACATACAGGGTGCGATGGGTAAATTATCGCCATTTTATATTTTTAATTTTGCACATGCACATTGTTTGTTTTTGATTTTGTTGACTGCACAGTATAGTAGGGTCAGTTGGGTACCTTCTATGAGAAAAAAAAAAGCACCATAACGCAATTCACACCACCAGAATTTTGGAAACAGCATGCTGTACTACTTGGCATTCGCACTGGAAGCTCCAATATGAACATTTCAGAGTGTTTAGGTGTCAATCTGAGGATTCAGTGCAGAGAATTTGATAAGAGTTGGATGAGTCTAATGGTGATTATGAAGGTACGGCAGCTCAGAAAACTCACTCTGATAAGAAAAGAACTTTTGATTTTATTTGTGAGAGCCTTAGACTTAACACAGAAGCTTACATCAAGTGCCTTGAGGAGGTAATACTGCCCTGGATCAAGGTGAATGCTGTAAGATTCTGTCTCTGGCAAAAGGACTTGCTACTTTTCAGTCATGGCTGTCAGACAATTTCTGTGGCCACATCAATACTTACATCTGGCCACCTAACTGCCCAGACTGCAACTCCTTTGATTAATATTTGAGGTGTGCAATTGAGCAATAGTCTAACAAAACTCCTTGTAACACCAAAGTTGAACTGAAGGCAAGGACTATGGCAGCCTTCACCAATTTAAACAAGGAGACCGTCCAGAAGAGTTGCAGGAGATTCTAAAGTCATCTGGAGGCTGTGATTGAAGTTAATTTATTGAATAAATTTACTCTTTAGTATTTTAAGATATTTTGGGGTTATTTTGGTAAATATATCTGTTAAAATAAGATGTCAGTATTATTTTCATTTTTGTGTAATTTAGATGACAATTTATCCATCGCACCCTGTATGTGGTAAACTATTCAATCAAAAATAAACAGTGAAAAGTTTATATATTTTCTTTCATAAATTTTGTATGTCACCACAATTGTATACACATGCAATACTTTTTCTCTTAAAGTACTTTATTTTCAGCTATTTCCATTAATATTCAAGAAAATCTATTATAATTGATAAGATTTGGTTGGATTTACATCACTTTCATAACCCAACTACTTTATTCTTCTTTAATTTCTTGTCTAATGAATAGAAAAAAATGTTTGTTTTTTTTGGTTTTTTTTGTGACAAATAATTCCTTGGTATAATTATCTGAGCAACATACATTTGTGGGAGAAGCATATTTCGAGAAGTTTTTTTTTTTTTTTTCTACTTGTGCTAATAAGATATCTCCTTTCAACATAACGATTATTATCTTCCATTTCAGCTTTCAGATTACCGAGACAATTTGTTGGGTGGGGGAACATTAATTCATTCAGAAAATTATATGGGGATGCTGAAAAGTTCTCTCTGACCAAATGATCAACAATCCAAATGTTTTTGGAATGACCTCTTTGTTAGGCTAAGAACTTTTCAGCATCCTTTCATATAGTTTACAAAACCATCATATTTTTGCAATACAAATTTCATTTACCTTTCATTTTTTATGGTTCTTAGAGATTTTTTTTAATTCTTTTGATTTTATTTATGAAAAAAGAAATTTGGTTTGGCATAGTCTTGTACTTTGTTCACTTGAAAACTTGAATTCCAACTGTTCAAAATATGTTCAGGTTATATTTTTGACAAAATGTTTTCATTTTTTTGGTTTCTTTTATAATAGTTTTGTTTATTTTTCAATGTTTGATGCTTTAATCTTGTTGTATCAATTTTTTTTTTCTCTCTCCATCACTCTCTTCAGACCTATCTCCACCCTGTCCGCAGCATGAGTGAGATAGCAGCTGAATTGTCTCATAGTTCCACTTCCCTGTCAGGATCTGGAGCATCAGACCTTAGTCGCAGTACCAGCTCTCATAGTTTGCCCAGTCTCTCCGCATCTAGATATGATGGTGAGTTCACACCTACCCTTCACACTCTCCCACCACACACACACAGACACTCTCTTTCCTTATACTACTTCTTACTTCCTTTTATCATCCAAATTCTCTGAATGTAACATACATCACAAGGCCTCTTTCAAGGCATGTATGACTGTTTGGAAATCTATTTCTTTACTGCTTCTGCACTTGAATTCTATTTACACCTTCTCTCAGTTGAACCTCATATGAAATCAATCACAAAATTCAATTTCAATACATTTTGGCTTTGTTAATAGCAACACTCATAATATTTATAAAAACTAAAATTAACAGATTACTCTTAAAAAATCTATTTTTATTCACAAGTGATCTGCTCTTTCTAAATTGACTTATAGGTACTTCCATGAGATCGCTAAAAAAAGAGCATAGCATGATGAAAAAGACGCCAAACTTGACAAAAACAAAATTTTATCATCTAAATGTTTGTTGTTATTAAGAAGAAAGACCAAAGTTTTTTTTTATTATTTTTTTAAAATTTTTCCTTCTTTTTAGAACATTCTAAATTTTGATTAAAAAATCTTGTTTCTCTTTGTATCACTGGAACTAGTAAAATAACATATACAATTTTTAGCACGTTTTTTTTTTTTTGTATGACACACATTAATTTGGAAAATTTTGCAAAAATAAAAACAATTGTCAGATGTTAATGAAACTTTCAGAAACTATTCATAGATGGAAATAATTATAAATGTTTTTTTTTATTAAAGTCATGGCAGAAATATTTTTTTATATATACCATAACTAATTTTATGAAAACTCTAGAAATTTGATCAAATACAGTTTAGTGATTACAATAGTTAAAAGCACAAGGCTTTGAGGAATGCAAATCATTTTTTTTTTAATTGGAACCTGAAAATCAGCTCTGAATTGTGACATACAAAACTCCATAAAACAAAGATATTATTTAATTTTAAATGCTTTTATTTGCTTTTATGAATACGGACAATATTTTCTAAAAGCAAGAAAGTTTTTGATGAAAAATGAATTATTAATACAATTATTTGTTATTTCTTTAATTATAATAGATTTTTACATTTAATTTGTTAAAATGTTATAAAATTAGTTAAGAGCTGCATCCACTTTCGTAAATGTCCTTCTGAGATAGATCTTTTTTTACAACATTGTAAATTGTAGGTATGTGCATGAGATCGATAAAAAAATAGCATACCATGAATAAAAAAGGCCTTAAATTTGATTAAAATAATTTTTATCGTATAAATGTTAATGTTATTATCAAGAGGAATGATCAAAGTATTTTTTGAATATTTTTTAAAATTTTTTAATAATTTCTAGCACGTCCAAAATTTTTTTTTGAAGCAATCTTCTAAAAATTTGAATTTTTAAAGATCGATAATCTCCTGTTGTTTTTGACATTTGTTTACAAAAGTGAATGTTGCCATTTAAAATTTATTTAAAAAATCAATTATGATTTTTTTTTAACTAATTTTAAAAAAAATTAGAAATTAGAAAGTTTATTTAGTATATTTTGAAACAAAGATTGCTTATTTTCTGTGATGAAAACATGTTTTTTTTTTTAATGGGAGAAAGCCGATCTGAACTGCGTGTTGATTTGACAAATGACAAGTGCTTGTTTTTCATCAAATTTACTGACATATTACGTGAAAGAAATTTATAGTACGGAAGGTCGTAAGTGACAATTTATCTTTACGTTAACAACTTATTTACCTCGTTATTTTTAAGTAGTCATACCATGAAAAAAAAATAAATGATTAAACTTGACGAAATCAGAATTTTATTACCAAAATGTTTATGTTACTATTAAGGGGAGAGAACAAAGTAATTTTTCATTATTTTTAAATAATTTTCTGTCTTTATTAGAACGTTTTAACTTTTGATTGAAAAATCTCATTTCTCGTCATCACCGGAACTTTAGTAAATAACATGGCAAATTTTTTGTTCATTTTTTTTTATGACACATTAATTTTGAAAAATCTTGCAAAAATAGAAATAATTGTCAGATTTTAAAAAAAATTTCAGGAATGATGGAAATTATTATAAATTTTTAAAGTAATTTTATATAAATATAAAAAAAATTAACAGTGCCGTACAAATCAAGTCATGTGATGTTTTTATTGATCATGTTTCTTCAAAAAAATCCGTACATTTGATTTAAGATTTTTTTTTTTCTACACATAGGTTAAAGGACAGTAAGATTATTCTCATTGCTGTTACGTTGATTTTAAAAATCTTGTACTATTTATAATCTGTACAGATATAGGTACCTAAAAATATAGCATTATATACAGGATTCAAAACTACCGCTAATTTTAGAATATTTAACAACTTTTAGTAACTTTTAGTAACTTTATGTAAAAATAATAAAATAATTTATTAAATAACAATTAATTCATTTAAAATTCATTTTTTTTTCAAAAAGTTTTTTGCCTTCAGACAATATTATGCATATTGATAAAAAACAAATAAAAGCAACTAAAAGCATTTAAAATTAAATAGTATTTTTGTTTTATTGGGTTTTGTATGTTAAAATTCAGAGCTGATTTTCGGTTTACGTGTTCGGAATTTTTCAAAGAAAACCTGATTTACTTTCCTCAAAGCCTTTTTTGTTTTTATTAATATAATGACTTTTTTAAATCGTCCATAAACTTTTACAGTTTTCTTTAATTCATTTATGGGGTGGTAATATATGTATAAAAAAAAATATTTTTATAATGACTTTTAAAAAAAACAATATATTTATAATAATTTCCATCATTTCTGAATAGTTTCTGAAAGTTTCATTAAAATCTGACAATTATTTCTATTTTTTCAAGATTTTCAAAATTAATGTGTGTCATAAGAAAAAATGCACAAAAAATTCAAATGTTATTTACTAGAGTTCCGGTGATGACGAGAAACAAGGTTTTTTCAATCGAAAGTTAGAATGTTGTAATAAAGACAGAAAATTTTTAAAAAATAATTAAAAATTACTTTGTTCTTTACTTTAATTATAATAACATAGACATTTTGGCGTTAAAATTTTGTTTTCGTCAAGTTTGACGTCTTTTTCATCAGACTATACGCTTTTTTTAGCGATCTCGTGCATATCCCTAGTAAATTGTATCGTTTTGACTAATCAGAAGACCCGCAGTAATTAAGAAATTTAATTTTATATTTATAACTGGGTTGTAATTATAAAGTATGGAAGACCAACCAGGATACAATTAAGTTGCGTTATTTGAGTTAAGCATTGTTCTCCACTGTTAAGGCCTTTACTTTTGCAAAACACATGTGAAGTTAATTTGATTTTTCAATTTCAACTGAGAAGGGTACCTACAAGTATCAGTATCATCTTATGAAATTTATATGATCTTATTTTTATATTAATCTCAGTTATGACATTTTTCCATAAACGAAATATCAAAATTAATAATAAAATGAATGGAAATACAAATAACACAGTAAAATGTAATATATATTCATAAAATTATAGTATTTTATGTACACTTCTGATAAAATTTCATAAGAAAAGTACCTATAAATTAATTAGATACCTTTCTTATGAAATTTAATCTCACTCTTAACAGTCTTATTTTAATTTCTTTATAATATATTTTCCATAAAGCACCGTAAATATAAAAAAAAAAAATTAGAGCACTGAAAGTTTTCCTTAGAAATAACGAGGTAAATAATTTGTTCACTTAAATCTAAATAATTTCAATTCTCTCCTTCCATAGAACAAATTATCCTCACATAATCCGTCAATACGTCAAGTGACACGAAATGTTATGACCTGCTTTGTTTAATTTTCAAACTATACCTTTTCAGCGTAGAAACTAGATAATTCTGGTTTCAAAATATTTTAAATAAACATTATAATTTCTGATTTTCTTAAAATAAGTTTTGAAAAAAATAATTGATTTTTAAAAGAATTTCAAACTGAGATTTTCTTTTTTTTTTTTTTTTTTATAAAATGGAAAAAAATGGCTGATATGATTGATTATCTGTCAATTTTGCTGACTCAAAAAAACAATATTTTTGACGAAAATTTTGGACGTGCTGGGAATGATTAAAAAATGTAAAAAAATACCCCCAAAATACTTTGATCTTTTCTCTTAATAATAACATAAACATTTAGACGATAAAATTTTGTTTTCATCCAGTTTGGCGTCTTTTTCATCATGCTATGCTCCTCTTTAGCGATCTCATGGAGGTACCTACTTAAATAACATCAACTTTTCATCTGAAAAGAATTTTAACATTATTTTTTTTAAAACTATAACTAATAGTTTTTCCCCTCAACATGGAATAAGAAAGCATTTAAAAAAAAAATGTGGAAGTGCCAAAAAAAAGTATACTCCCTACTTTATACCACTTTTCTGCTTTTTAGAAGGACAAAGTAAATCTCAAATAATGAACAAGATCAAAATTCAAGTTAATCTTGCATGATTAGAAACATGATCAGAAAAGAATATTTCAACAATTTATCATACACTTTTGACTTTGGTTTTCACTCACCTTAAGTTGTATTTAATCAAGAATTATTTTTATGCTTTTCATGCAAGATATTTAAATTTACAATATGAAAAAATCAAATATGACTAATATGGTATTTCGTAATTGTTCTTAAGAGCATTGCAAAGCCAATTATAAAAACGTAGAATTTTTCAATATGCTTTCATCTTAAGAATAACTAATAAAATTAATTCTTGGCTCATGAAACATACACTGATAGATTTTGCACTTTTTAAGTTTTTAAAAAATACATTTCTTCATAATTTTATTCCTAACATGAAAATCAAAGAAGTCAGGTGAACCTGAACAATATTCTATTCTCTCAATTAGAGGGAAGTATAAGGAGCAGTGCAAGAGTGAACAAATCAAATGTAAGATTGTCTATTATTTATGGTAAGGATGCAGACAAGCAACTATAAAATTTAATAAAGAAACATTATTTTAATATTAACTCGGGAATCATGGTCTTTGATCTTTATTTTATCTTATTCTTTGCT